GGGGACTGATTTCAGAGCACTTAATTTGGGGGATGATTTCAAAATAAAAAGATTCTGGGGACTAATTTCAAAATATGAAAGATTTTGGGTACTAATACCGAAAAAACCCTCCAGAATGTTAGTACTGAGTCTCATGATTTGTAGTTGCAAGCGGTAGATGGATCGGCATGTTTACATAGCTGTGGTTGTCTAATGCAAAGCAAAGGTGGGGACATGTTTGAAAATTCAACAAAATTTAACTTTGATATCCTAAACTTAACAAAAAATAAATAAACTTTCATATCCCAAATTTCAACAAAAACTTGAGTTAGGGGGTACAAAAGTTGATTCTATTAATGTTGAACTTTAGGATGGTTTTTAGGCAAAAAGAATTATAATAGCGTATTGAAACTAAATTCTCTTGAATTTCAGGATATTTTTTATAGGCAAGAAAATATGTAGGGTAGCAGAGGGAAAAACGAGGTTAACTTTGAAGTATGTATGTGTAAATTATCATATATAGAAAGGTTTGTGAAAGGCTACACCTGCGGTATCATGGTCTACAATTTTTTTTAAAAATTATGGTGTGCTTGGGAGATGACTAAGGGAAGGGAATTTTTTTTTCCTTCCTTCCCTTCCCCTTCTTTACCCACCAATTTGGGGGGTAATATTTTAGTTCAATTTTCCCCTCATTCCCCTCCTCTACCCTTCTAAATAGAACTCCCAAACAAAGATAAACCAAAATTTTCCTTCCCCTTCCGGACTAGGGTTGTCAAACGGATGGTTTTGGTGGGTTTTGGTTAGGTTTTGGTTGGGTCATAAATGAGTGGGCACGTTTGTGACCACTTGACCATTTATAACCCATTTAGCATTTGCTAAATGGGTCACTTCTTATCCACTTACTAAATGGGTGGTTCATGGGTGACCTAATAACCCATTTAGTTATGATGTTTTTATATATATGTAAGTTTCAGGGGTCTTCTTGTAAACTTTCAGGGGGTTTTCTGTAAATTTTAAGGGGGTTTTCTACAAATTTTTAGGGGATTTTTTATAAACTTGCAGGGGGGTTTTGGTAAACTTCTCACTGCAAAAACCCTCAATTGCCAATTTATACGACAAAAAACTCATGCAAAAGCCTTCAGAGACCATCATAAACATGAAATCTTTAGCCTCTACAAACATTTTCAATTCAACCAAACCACAAACAAGCGCTTGATAACTTTCAGAGTTCGGATAACATCCTTTTAAGCTTCATTACCTTTAAGAGCTCGATCCTCTCTCTAACTCTCCTTTGCTTGCGAAGACCCGAAATCAAAACATTAAATATTACAGTATCAGGATAACATTTCTCTCTTTCCAATCTGTCGCACAACTCTAAATAAAACCACCGTGTGAACTCATAATGAATGTTTAGCAATGATCACATAAAAAAAATAATGATGAGAATAATGTACATCCGATCATTTTAACATGCTCAAGGATCTCAGCTTCAAGACAGCACATTGATTACATGAAGGCTGTAATCCACGGGGTTTATAAAGTCTTTGATGTTGCTAATGATATCCTTATCATATGGATTCGAAAACCTTATTTTTGAAGAGTTCCCTGTGGAAAAACATACATAAAGAGCCACCAATTAGTAACCAATTAAATTCAAGCAGAATCTTGTGTAGTTTTAATTTGATTTCAATATATTTGCCTGGCTGAGATTGGACGACTAATTGAAACTCAAGATATTTCTTCCGGTTAATCTGATTACTAGCAAGTATTAATACACAGAACCAAGATATACAGAAGCAACAATCATAAAAGGAACTAGAGAACTTACACATTCATCAGCTTTGATATTGGCACAGATGCAATATATATTCCATATCAAGAATACCACCTAGTATATTGGACAAATTGTCACGGTCAGAGGATATTAATAGCATGTTACTTCTATTAACCAATCAAAGATTTTAAAAAAATCCCACCAAGTTTGAAATGGTTGATGCATCGGCACACATCTCTTCTCAATCCACAAGCTCAATGGTACGTAACGTAATATCAGTTAATTTCATCACCTATCTCTCCAACTCTGTCCAAATGAAACTATCAAAATCAACACACCTCTTTAAATCTAATAATATTATTGGTGTCAGATAAAGTACCAATTTTTTTCCATGTTCCCAAAAGAGCGTAACAGAACAAAAATGGACCAATCGCCAAAAATAGCATCATGCCCATAAAAAGATTTGATCCCTCCTTTATTTGATCTTTCAGTGCCTTTTAGGTTCATTTTCCATCAATGTTATCAAGAGAGAAAAGGAAGAGAGAAAATACCTCAAAGAAAATACACATCTAGATTTCACCTTCAGATTTAAAATTTTGAATATCACTAAAATCATGCACCAACAGATGTCATTCTTCAATATCTTCCAAAGCTGCATTTAGATCTATGTTAGTCTAATATAACACATGTACACCATAAATTTACAGAAGGTAATAAGTAAAAGTAAGCAACTTACAAGGAACCCCATCTAACCAAGAACCAAGGTATATTTGAGCTTCGGCATTTTCCGGAAGAAAACGATTGCGATACTTATCAAGCACACAACCAGCTTTGCTGAAAACAGATTTAGAGGCCATTGAAGTAACATGGATACTGAGTATATCACGAGCCATCATGGATAATTGAGGACGCTTCTCAGAATCTACTTTCCAATATTCAAGAACATTCAGATTCTCATTTTTCTTCCAAAAAAGCATCTTTTCATCTAAATACTCTTCTAATTCAAACTTGGTGCTACTGACTGAAACTAGTTGGCTCTCAAACTGTTCAAACTCAAGCATCTCATCATCACGAACATCTACAAAGGCCTCTTCCGAACTACTACTGACCATGCATATATCATTTGGTGCTCTCTCATATTCTTTATAAAGAAGCTTTAGCTTATCCAAGATAGTCACCACATGAGTAGAACCAAGACCCACTATTTGAAAACAAAACTCCACATATTTCACCTTATAACGGGGGTCTAAGATGCATGCAAAGGATAAAATCTTGCTATAACACTTTCAATATTTATTACTTTTTCTCCATATCACTTGCCATGGATTTTATGTCTTCATCTTCACTTATCATCTCCTCCTTTATGCATTTTTGTATCTTCCAAACTCCACCAAAATACAAGTTAAAAGTTGGGTATTTACTTCCAGAAAAAAGAGTACACACTTCATAAAAAGGTTTCAAGAACTTTGCTATTTTTTCAACATTTACCCATTCTTCAGTTGATGGACAAAATGTAAAATTTGAATCGATTATCTTCAATTTCTCAAATGCCCGACGAAAAGGTAAAACACTCTCTAACATTAAAAAGGTGGAATTCCACCTATTAGACAGATCTTGCTGAATTTTCTTTGCACTAACTGAACAAGTTTGTTCGATACACTCTGCAAATTTTTTCTTCCTTCCAGGGGACTCTTTACATGTTTAATGCATTCTCTAAACTTGGATAAAGATTTATCAATTACTTTTAAACCATCTTGTACAACAAGATTTAAAATGTGAGCACAACATCGTACATGCAAAAATTCACCATTGGAGACAAAATGCTCCCTTAAAGTAGGATGATCTTTCAAAATTTTCATAAAAGCATCATTATATGATGCATTATCCAATGTAACAGTAAAAAATTCTTTTTTCTATGCCCCAATCATTCAGTAAATAAAATAGCTTCTCTACTAAAATTGCCCCACTATATGGAGGTGAAATATGAAACAAAACTAATATTTTGTTTTGTAAAATCCATTGCTCATCAATGTAATATGCAGTGAGAGACATGTAGTAATCTGATGTTGAAGAGGTCCACAAGTCTGTAGTTATACTGATTCTGCTAAGAACTAGCTTCAAAGTTTGTTTAAGATTTTTTTTTCTTTATTGTACAACTTAAGCAAATCAGCTTTAGTGGTGTTCCTCGAGATATGCTTGACTTCAGGATTTAAAAATGTATGTAACTTGCGTATCCCTTTATGTTCTACAAAACAGAATGAATAACCATGCAATGCAATGACGCTAGCCAACATTTCTCTGTAATTATCTTGATCTAATGGCATAGTTTTCCATGATGAATCAGCCTCATCTATATCCCGTTTTGGGTAAGAATGAATATGCCTCAACATATTTGTGGTACCATGACCACTAACATAAACTTGGTCACATTTCTTGCACTGAACTTTAGCTTTCCCATCACTATCAACAGGCAACTCGGTAATACTCCCAAACTTTTGATTTTTCTCTTCTTTTACGTTTAGATATAGTTTCATTATCAGCTTCACTACCATCATCACATGCAGTAAATTCATTCAAAAACATAGTAACTGAAACAAGAAAAATAACTTTGTAATATCAAATCAAATGTCAAAAATTAATAAAATAGCTTCATATATAACAAATAACTACAATAAGAAAAAGAATACTATCCAACAAATTCCAACACAAGATCCATGTCAATATCAATTTTTTGCTAAACATAGGAGCCACACATCATACACATGGTAAGGAGAAAATGGCATAACAATATTGCTCAATAATCAACAGATATTGCTTAGAACCAGTTAACCATTATTATAAGCATCCTTCCATAGCTGTACATATAAATTAAAAATTATACCTACTAAAAAGGTCGATTCGAGTATAGATTAATCCTAGTCTCTTAGATACAGTTTTTTCAACAAGACAAGACAATTGAGAACTCCCAATGCACCAAAGAATCCAATCACTCCTGTAGCCAATACAACAGCAAAAACCATAATGATCGAGTACCCAATACAGATTACTACAGATGCTGTCTCACTCGGTCCTCTTAGATCAAGCACTAGGTATTTTACTGAGTAAATAAACACATATAAGCCATTTGAGCCTGAAGCAAAGAATGCTTTCCACCCCATCGAAGATGAATGATCGATGATGCGGTTGGAAATTCAAACTTTTCAAATTAAACCAAAATTTTAGCAAAATTTATCAATCCAATATGATCTCAAGACTAAAACATACTACAAAGCTCCTCAATTTATAACATTAACGCCCATAAGAATAAAAGACTCAAGAAAATCCCAAAACTGAAAGGAGACAGGATTAAAAAACCCCAAATTGAAAGAAGGCAAGATCAAGAAACCCTACTAAGAATGTACCTCAAAATCTAGTGATTAGTTCGATTGAAGACCTGAATGTTGTAATAGCTCGATCAAAGGCCTGAATTTGAACAGGAGAGACGCTCGAACTAGACTCAAACACTAATCATTGCCTCCACAAGTTGAAGATTCGATTCTCCTGTTGATCAAGAGGAACTATGACTCGATCGGAGAGAGATGAGGAAACTCGATGGGGAGAGGTGCAATTGAGCGCTTGAGAGGAGAGAGAGGAACTAGGGCTCGAGCGTTTGAGAAAGAGGGGAGAAAGGAGAACGCGTGGGTGTGGCCCGTGGGGGGCGGATCAGATTGGGTTGGTTACGGGCGGGCCTGGTTATGAACCATTTAGGCTGTATGGAAGCAATACCCACCCATTTAGGACCCGCTTCGTTAAGTAGGTAGGTATAGTTAGACTATTTTGTGGGTGGGTATGGGTAGATTATTGGGTTTGGGTCTAGATTGTCACCCCTACCCTTCCCTTCTCTACCCTCCATCCAAACAGGCTAAGGGTAGGAAGATAAATTTATCCATATCCAAACTGAGAAAGAAAAAAGGGATACATGGCATTAATGTATAGCGAGTGGCTAAAAAACACACACCCCCAAAAATATAAATAAATAAATACAACTATACAAGACATCAATTTTCCTTATCTTTAGCTCCCGCTTCATCTTCTGAGAAAGGGAAAAATAATTTCCCTTTCCAGAGGCCCCAAAATAACACCAAAATCATTCTCTCTCTCTCCCTAAATCAGGTTTGTGTTTTTATTAAAAAAAGGTATAACTGGTGTTCCATCCCCCAAATGTTATAGTTGAAGGAATATTCCCTCTAGTTCAAATGGGTGCTAATCAGGGGGTCTAATCTCAAACAACTTATATATCTAGGGTGGCTAAGATCAATTTCAGTGATTTGGGGGACTAATTTCATACAACTTATATGATTTGGGGACCTAATAGCAATTTCAATGAGTTGGGAGACTAATCTCAAAATATGAAATATTTGAGGGAGTAACATCAATATCCCTGTCACAAATTGCTTTGAATGGATGACTTGAAAGTTTTTGTGACTACAGTAGTTGTGAAATTATAATGTTTGTTTAGTTGTTTTTTTAATTGTAAACTGTTGAGGCGTTCCTTTCTACAAACTGTTTTTATCTATTTTACTTTATTTTTCTTGCACAGGATCTTGTTTTGCGCTTGGGAATCCACAGGAAACTAAATCGTCATAGAGGCTGCGTGAACACTGTAAGCTTCAATGCAGATGGTGATACTCTAGTGTCAGGATCTGATGATAGAATGGTGATCTTGTGGGATTGGAACACTGGGAAGGTTAAGCTATCATTCCATTCTTGCCACTCAAATAATATTTTTCAAGCACGATTCATGCCTGATACTAATGATCGGACCCTTGTCACATGTGCTGCTGATGGGGAGGTATATACTGATTGATTTACATATGCTTTTCTTAGATCTTTCTAATGCTGTGTTTGCAAGTTGATGTTCTAATAAAGCAAAAAGGTCAATTGCAGATAGACCCCATGTAGTTCTATTGGTGCGAATAGACCTTGTACTATTTGCCCAAGTGCGGATAGACACGCTGTCCATTTCTTTTTTACTCATAAAAGAGGCAAGTAAGTTTGCTCAGGGGTTCTATCCGCACCAATTGAACTACAAGGGGTCTATTTGCAATTGGGCAATAGTGTACGGGGGTCTAACCGCAATTAACCCAACGAAAATTTAACAGCCTGCTTTATAAATTATGCGACCAGGTGAGACTTGCTCAGATACGAGAAGCTGGACATGTGGCTACTAAAATGCTAGCGCAGCATGAAGGCCAAGCTCATAAGTTGGCAATCGAACCGGGAAATCCTCATATATTTTATAGCTGTGGAGAAGATGGTTTGGTTCAGCGTGTAGGTACTTCTGTGTGGTTGCATCTTTCAACCTACTTATACGTTTTCGTTAACCTTATTATTCTCTCCTGCAGTTTGACCTCAGAACAGAATCCGCTACGGAACTCTTTGTATGCAAATCCTTTCAAGATAAATCATCCTACATGCCTATTGTTCATCTAAATGCTATAGTGATAGATCCAAGGGATAGCAATAACTTTGCAATTGCAGGATCAGATGAGTATGCTCGGCTTTATGACATTCGCAAGTACAAAGGGAACGGGTCAACTGACTTTGGTCAGCCGGTTGACTGCTTCTGCCCTCAGCGTTTGATCGGTCATAATCAAATTGGGATTACAGGATTGGCATTCTCGGATAAAAGTGAACTTCTTTCCTCCTATAATGATGAGTTTATTTATCTTTTCTCCAAGGACCAAGGTCTTGGACCCTATCCAACGCTATCACATGCCAAGGATGCTGAATCGATGCCCAGGGTTTTTAAGGGGCATCGCAACTGTGATACAGTCAAAGGGGTGAACTTTTATGGTCCCAACTGTGAGTATGTGGTTAGTGGATCAGACTGTGGCCGAATATTTATCTGGAGGAAAAAGGATGGGGAGCTCTTACGTGCGATGGAAGGAGATAAACACGTGGTTAATTGTATTGAACCTCACCCTTATACCACAGCAATTGCAAGTAGTGGTATCGAGAATGACATCAAAATATGGACTCCCAATGCCATCGAGCGGGCACAACCGGTCAATATGGATGAGGTATGTAACTTTTGGCTACCCAGTTGTGTTTTTGGTATATTTAGGTATTAGTCCCTCAAATCTTCAATAACTTCATATAAGTCCCTCAAGTCTTTGAAATTGCTTCTAGTCCTGCAAATCCAAGGGGCCTTGCAATTTAGTCCCGCAATGATAAGAATACCACTCAGTTTATGTTCCTTCCCTTCAAAAATAATTAGTTGAAGGGTACCTTGGTCATTAGGGGAAAGCCCCCTAGGATTTGAAGGACATATGAGTAATTTCAAGGAGTTGTGGGAGTAATATGGAGTTGTTGAAGATTTGAGGGACTAATACTAACCCTTTTGTTTTTCCATGTTTTCTAGTTTCGAAGTGCTGCTACCATTTGGTTGTTTATAACCTTAATTTGGACATATAATTTAATTTGCTTTTGCTCGTATATAATTCGACTAGATATTGGCAAGAAGATACTACTTTTTTACTTGTAACTTTTAGGGAGAATATTCATATAATTTAAGAAATCAAGATTTTCTTATAAACTTGCAAGCAGGATATTGAATCGGATCATGCAAAAATCAACATGGATCATTCAATCTGAGAACCCTCCTTGTAATTCATGCCTGCAACCTTTAAAATGAGGTCTTAATTCGAGTGTTGTGTTGGTTTATATCTTTGTTTTTGTTTTTCATAAATATGTATGTTTTTACTAACAGGGTAATTAGGTTCATGGGTTGGAAGTATGACTCATAGTGGTCAACAGTATAAACCCATTCTACAGATGGTTAAACACCTTGGTGCTTCTGTGAAAGAAAATGCATCAGCACATTACACAATTTTTATTCAAAAGTTATTAATATCAACTGCTTTCCTAATTTTATTTGTTGTAACAATCTCAAATATAACCAAAAGTTAAACATACAAACTTTTTATTTTGAATGAGCAGAATTGACCTGCATGTTCGCTGCAGCATTTGTGTAAGAAAATTCAAAATTTTAATAAGTTAAATCATTTGGTTTTAAAATGCACAATATATCAAACTATTAGAACACAAATATAGCAAAGTTATAATGAAATATACATATATCAAACTATTAGAACAAAAACATAGCAAAGTTATAACAAAATGTACCAACTTATGCATTATACTAAACTCTAGAAAGACAAAGTGAATTTAAAAATAATCTGGTAAAGTATTTTGGATGTAAGAGTGATTTTGCAAGTGGGTGGGTTTAAGAATAACTAGTGATAAAATCTTGGGCTTATAGACATAAATCCCTTTTCTGAATGATGCTACCATTAAAAAATAAATAAAATGACAAGCATTTTGTTAAAATATATACCATGCAAATAACTACTCATAACAAAAAAGCTAAAATAAAAAAATAGCAAGCTACATCATATATTACGTAGTTTATGAGGTGAATTTAAAATTAATTTTTTTCAAGTATTTTGGGTCTAAAAATTGATTTTAGAAGCGAATGTGTTTAAAAATAGTTGCTGATAAAATTTGGGTATATAGGTAAAAGAACCTTGTTTTAAAGTGTGTGGGTTTAAAAATAAATGTGGTAAAACTTAGGTTTGTAGGGGAAAAAATTCATATATAGTTCGCCATGTCGCGCAAGTGTTAAAAACGGAAAAACATTAATGTTTATGATGAAGTTTTCCTTGGTCTAAAAGTAACTTTGGAAGCGAGTGAGTTAATTTTGAGTATATTAGCAAAAAATACCTTGGGAAGTATGTAAGTTCAAAAGTTTATGGGGTGAAAAATCTGGATGGGATATATTAATTCGAAGAGTGACTTTAAAAGTGGATGACTTTAAAAATAAACAAGGTCAAACTTTGGGTTTATAAGTAAAAAAGTTGTATTAGGCCAATTTAAAATTAGATGGGTTTTATTTTTGCACTCATAGAGGAAAAAGCAAAATACTGAAAATTTAGGAGCTTGAACTTGTGACCTCTGGGCCATAAATGGAAGCTCTATATCGCCATTGCACATTCCTTTTAATAAACAAGCTCTTACATTGCTCTGTATATTAAATTATTCGAGAAAGCCTTCAACTATGCACTATTCGTCTCCAATAATTTTACTATATACGAGTCATATTGACTTGCGTGATGCCGCAGCTTTAGTTTGAAATAAGTCACAATAAATAATGATTTAAATATTTGATCTTAAAAAATCTTACACCTAACCACTTAGAGAAAAATATAGCAAGTTTCACCAAAAAAAACTGAAACTAAACTGTTGAAAAAACAAAATGTCTTAATTTAATTTGACTAGATATCTTAGGTCTAAGAATGATTTTGGAAGGGGGGCGGGTTTTAAAATATATTGGGTTTTTTTTTTGGATTTTTTTTGGGGGAGGGATCGGGATGGTGGGGGGCTTTGGTTTATAGACAAATAATTCCTTGTGGAAACGGGTGAGTATAAAAATAAATAGGGATAGAACTTTGAGTTTTCACGCAAAATTTCATTTACAATTTGTGATGACGCAACATTAGTGTGAGAAAGCCAAATAAGTTTAGCAATTTGTTTAAAAATACGCCACATATCCACGCATTTTGAACTAAACATAGCAGATTACAACAATACAACAACTTAAAATAAGTTTGAGTCTAAGATTGTTTTGGAAGTTGGGTGTATAAAAATAAATGGAGGCTGGTTTCATTGTCATAAAATCTTTTTCAGAAGTGGACAGGTTTAAAATAAATAAGAACAGAACTTTGGGTTCATAGGCAAAAGACTCTTTGAAAGTTGGTGAGCTAAAAAATAAATTTGGGTAAAACTTGGTTTACGAGCAAAAAAACCTAGTTAAACTTTGGGACTGAGTGGGTTTAAAAATTAATGTGGGTAAAGCTTTGAGTCTATATCCAACCTTGGAAGCAGATGGGCTCAAAAGTAAATTGGGGTAAAACTTTGGGCTTAGTTGTCAGAAGTAAAAATTTGTTGAACTTTGGGTTTATGGCAAATAACCATAGAACATAGTAAAAGTTTAGAACTTCGTGGGATTAAAAACTGCTATGGGTAAAGCTTTGGGTTTACGAACAAAAATCCGACCTTAGAAGTAAGTAGGCTTAATAGTAATTTGGGATAAATTTCGGGTTTAGTTGTAGAAGGAAAAATTTACAAAATATCTGACTTTGACACAAGTCGAACCCTATGCCCTCTTCTTTCCCTTCAGAGGCTCATACCATTGGACCATTTGTTTTCTTGCAATTATTACACATTTCTATATGACAGAATTAACGGGGATGAACTGTAGCTAAGCATTGCTTATCCCCATTAACTTTAGTATATAGTATATATATGTAATGATGCAAAAACAACACCATCTTTTGCATCATCGGATTTGTGGAAACAAAGAATACAACTTCTTGTTTTAAATATTTACACTCACAATCAAACATATGCGATATCTGCATGTATATATTTTTGCAGACTTTAGAAGCCCTAACGTACATAAAATTTATATCTTAAGTACAATGTACTGTGAAAAACAAGTTCACGCTGTTCCCATGTATCTAGATCGTAGAATATGGAACTGAGACGATGTCTTCCTTTTCACCCTCACATCTGTATCCATAGATCATAGTGGAAAATCCTCCATGAATGTTTGCCTTCATAGGCTTTTTAGGTTCCTGTCACACGCTTGATACAACTTAAAAAGAGAAAAAAAAAATCAATGTCTAAGTGTCTTCAACCTTCTTTTTCTAGAGACTCACCATTAACATTTGCATTGTTTCGATGATTAGGCGAAGAATGGGAGTCCAACCTCTGATCCTTTGAGAACTTTGAAAATATGACACTGACCTGACGATACTTGGTTTATAATTGCCTTTTAATGCTCGTAAAGTTGATGATGTAGTCCCTCTCTTCTACTTTTTATTTTTAAATTTAACAATCTGATAAATATGCATTTTGTCCAGAGATCCTAAAAACAAAATCTGCAACTATAATTTCACATTCTGCACTATTGGAGTTAAAAACTATCCTATTAAGTAAGACTCAACTATATAATGCATGTAGAGTTGCATGTGGAATTTCGATGTGTAATTCTGCACTCTATGTTCTGATTCCTGATGGAATTGATTGGTTTGACATATTGGTGATTCTGACTATGATGCCAATGGCAACTATGACGATGATGACATTGATTGGGATGATGTCGATGATCATGACGGTTATTCTGGCGATGATGGGGATGACTATGACATCACTGTTGATGACATGGGTTGCTAACAATAGTTGAAGAAGAACAAGAGCAGGGTCAGATTTAGCCGGTTTGCATTTCCTGAGCAGCTGATTGCTCAGGTATTGGCACAGCAGAGGTGGGGGCATAGCCGAGGAGCGCGGAGGGAAGAAAGCTCAGCTGAAAACCGAGGTATAGTTGATCTTTTAATGGATTATACAGAAGGTGATGACTCATCAGATGATGATAGTGAAGGTGATACCTCTGGAAGTCCAGGAGATTGTACGGTCAGCTAAGGTGACTCCAAAACTACAGAAGAAACTCCGTGAACACTTGTTAATGGAAGTGGGTTTTGGGGGGAAGTTTCATTACTAAGTAATTATTATGTTCGCGTAGCTTGAAGGTTGCTTGCATTGCAGCTTTTGGTTTGTTTTTAAGTTTGTAAATAGCCGCTTCACTATCAGCATACTGTACTCTGTTGCAGAAAGATACATGAATATATTATCTGCTAACAGCTTTTTGCTTCATTGGTCTTTGCCTACGAGAGGTGTCAAAAGAAGCAGCCCCCTAGCGAAGCCAGCGGAGGGCAGAGGATGGTCATGGCCTCCCCTAGATTTTGGAAAAATATACAACTTTATAAGTTACATATATAGTCTTTGTAGATTAAGTTGTGGGTTATCTGCTTAACTAACTCAAGTTAGGAGTACAAACAAGTCTAATATATTACCCCTTCGTCTACCGTAGGAGTGCAGATGGACCTAATTAAAAAGCCCATTACTCTTTTGATAGTTAGGTGACGATAAACTTGTGGGCTAGTTACTTATACAAATTTATGCATCAGTATTATGATATGTATTTTAAATAAAGGTTCATATCATTAAAGGGGAAAAATGCTTTAAGATCACTTTCTTACAAAGGACCTCCCATGACTTGAGTCAATGTATGCTCTCGCCTCTAAAGCGAACAAACGTAATTAGGTCACGAATTGGTTGCCACCTCAACAATGATTCAAGCCGACTTTCTTTCCCATTATACTCCTCTAAGTTTTCCTCCTGCACGTCATTTTTACATGAATTGTTAGGCATGGTGAGTGACTCATTTTTCCCCATAATACCTTTTTTTTTTGCTCCTATCATCTATCTTTTTTTAATTGTACTGAGTGGCCAATGGTGCCCCCCCCCCCCCCACCCCCCAAAAAAAAAAAAAAAAAAAAAAAAAAAAAAAAAAACCATCCTCTACGTTAACATTAAAAGTTAGATGTTAAGTGTAGAGGTTAGTTTTATGACATTTAAAGTTGGACATTAAAATTAAAAGTTAGATGTTAAATTATTTGCTAGTTATTAAAAAGAAAGTTAGATGTTAAACGTTAAATTTATTTTTTAGTTTAGACCTTTACTTGTGTTTGTAGCTACGATTGCATTAAAGTTTACATGTTCATCAAGGCTACGCTCCAATATGGTGATTTTATTAGTGGTAGATCCACATAGAGCGAATTGGGGGCAAGAGACCCCACTGAAATTATCTTGTCCTTGTGATCCCAGTTTAATACGGCCTTATTAATATTCCCTCGAACATTAAATTTTTTGAGGCATGTCCTTAACATTTTCCCATCGTCTATTTATTGAACCCACTACTGTATGCGTCCTGGCTTAACCATTGGATTTTATGAAGCTTACAACAAGAAACAAAACAACGTCAGTATAGACTGTCTAAAAATTACTGCAGATAGTTGATCCCCATCAAATACTGATAATTGAAGTTATAATTTAACGGCTTCCAGAATACTACAATTTAAAAACTTTCATGTAGATCGATGAAGGTTACAATCTGACGACCTTCACAACAACCGATGAAAGCTCCAATTCAATAGCCTACACAATCAACATCGGGAGTTACAATCTGATGACTCTCATATTTTTAAGTAGCCAAGACGAAGATTATAAGATGACAATCTTTGGAACGCTCTAGCAAAAGAGACTATAAATTCATGATCTCTTCAAATCAAAACGCATATATCTCTCAAACTGTAAGGAATTTGGCGAAACGGACGGGAGCAAACCAAACCTCTTTGGTTGGTTTGGTCGGCTCCGTCTCGTCGAGATAGTCGATTTTCATATATAATTCGTCCAATTTCGAATTACGGTTTGAAAGTTATGATTTGTTCTTCGCAACAAGTTATGTTCTGAAGTCTGTCTACAAGACTAGACTTCACATGAATATTGGACTTCGCCTGAAACTCTCCAAGCTCGCCTCTGCGTTCCAGAGTCAAAACGCAGAGTTCATTCCAGAATGCGAATTGTGCGTTTGACTGGTTCAAACAGAACCTGAACGGTTTCAAAACCGTTTTTCCACTTAGTGGGGGCGGTTACACCCCATAAACCCTTATTAAGGAGAGATTAAGGGGACGGTTACACCTCATAAACTCTCATTAAGGAGCGAATCAAGGGGACAGTCACACCCCTTAATCTCCTATAAATAGCTAAAATTTTAGCTTAATTGAAACCCCGGTTCTTTAGAGGGGAATATCTGGAAAAAATCGGCTTTTTTGGATCGGAATTCTTGGAGATCTTCAGATTTGGAGGTTTTTTGGAGATCATTTTCATCAGCAACAGAAAGCTTTGGTGCTTGGCTATAAAAACCGATTTTCGGTTCAATTTAACTCTTTTACAGAGTTTTAAATTCGCTCTGAGTTCTTAAAACTCGTTAAAAGTTATTCTCAAACTTGCCACGCAAGTTCTCCTCAACATCAATCAAGAGGAAAATACCGTGTCCCACGAGGTGAAGTGTTCGGATCGTCAACGAAAAGCAAGCTCGACACGAACATCGAGGGAGGCATTCCATCGACACCAAGAAGAACCCAGGTTAAACAAAGGGAAAGGTCTCCGTTGATCTTTTTTTCTTTTGTAAATCGGGAATCCGATACAAGAAGATTGTAATCTCTTTTTCTGAGTTATTAGAGAGAGATTGCATTGAAAGAATTATAACTTATTCTTTTTCTAAGTCTGTTAGAGAGAATAATACAAATTCCTTTTCTCAATTTCTTCTTTCAATTTTCCCACCAAACAGTCAGTATTTATATTAAGGTCGATGCGTGCTGCTCAATTAATTATTGAATTGATAGAGGAAACAATTTAAAGGGAACTTGATTAAGACGAACCAAAATATGTTTGTAAACGTGATGGTAAATGTAGCACTTGGTCCCTTTCATTATCACAGTTGTGTAGATACTTGCTGTCATTATTTACATATAAGATGAAAATCCAACAATTAACTATAATATTAACATCCAACTTTTAAAATTTAAAACTAACTAATAAGTTAAACGTAGAAGCGATAAGTCTAACAACTAACAGAAGGTTTAATAATAAGTTAAACATAGAAGCAATGAGTATAACAACTAACAGAAGGTTTAATATCCAATTGATACGTGTAATAAGTAACCCCCAAGATTAACATTCGACCTCTAAAGTTAACAACTAACTAATATAATTAACATCGAAATGTAAAATATAACAAATAATAGTTAGCTTTAATAGTCATTCTATAAATCTGACATCCCACTTCTAATTTTCAAGTAAAAATACATCACATTATTCTATGGAATTCCAAAAAGTTCCAAGTAGGATGCATCTTTCAATGATTGGTTAGGTGTTAGAAGTCGGTTGTTAAGGTTACATTTTCGATGTTAAAATTAGAAGTTAGTTGTTAATGTTATAAGTTAGTTTTTAAAGACAGACGGTAGATGTTGCCGCTAGAGGTAAGATATTAAAGTTACCAGGAAGGAGGGAGGGAAAACTTGAACCAAGCACACAATTTCTGATAAAAAAGACCAAGTGACAATAGCTTCTAATTAGGGGTAGAATGAGAAATTTTTTTCTACTAAATCAATAATGAGGTGGCAACCAATTTAGCCCCTAATTACATTTACTTTTCACTTTTGGGTGAAGCACGCATTGACTAAGTCATGGGCGTACGTTCCTTGTAGGGCTTGTTTGGTTCACAAACCCCAAAGAGTACAAAATAATTTCCTAACCGAAAACATGTTTGATAATGAAAATGAGTGCAAGAAACATGTTTCATTAATTTCTTTTGTTTGTTTCAGCAACTTGAAGTAGGAAACTAACACTTTGTAAGCTTGTTTCCTTGATTTCTTCAATTTAGTTGGGAAAATGCCATCATTAAAAACTAGAATCAACTCATCATGGTGTGTATGCTTCCCAAATAATTTCTTATGTCAATAAAAAGCTTGCACATATAAAGAGCGATATACACTATTAGAAGATTGCACGCACATGCTAAAACTATACATTCTAACATGCAGTCTACATAATCGCAAAAAAAACCATAAAATAACACCTAGAGTAAAAAAAAATACAGAAAAAATCACACTAATAAATCACAAAATAACATACAATTTAAGCAGTCCTATTCAATTAGAAAATTACATATAGCCCAATTAATCAAAAATTATGCTCAAGTATAACTTAGTTTACCCACGAAAAAAGCTCATAAACGCCATTGCATGTCAAAAAATTTATCTTTGCAGGTATAATTAAGGCAGTGTGATCAGGCAGAGAATGACCAAGATAATTGCAGATCGACCAAATAATTTAAGGTTTGAAGTAGATCACACGAATCAGTATGTGAATCGACAGTAAAAAAAACTCAAACTTGATCAATAGCAACTCCTTTAACCAGTCAAAGAAGAATAATTAACAAATAAACATCTTTAACCAGTCAAAGAAGAAAAAACTTGAATTTTACAAAATTGTACCTTTACAAATCAACCAAGACCTTCCATTTTACATGGCCCTCCAATCGAAACAACTTTGAGTGAATGATCTTGTAATGGCTTCAAACTCGGGTCAAGGTATCAATCAGTGTGGAGAGGGAAAAAGGAAGTGCGAGGGTTGAAGAGCAGAAGAGGGAAATGAGGTTAAACAAAAAACAAATGAGGTTATAGCATGCAAAATCCGAAATAAAAGAAACAAGAAAATCTGGCCTGATTAGGAGCAGTCGTGTAAATACTGCTCTAGAAAATTAAAAACCCACTTATCGTCGACGATCCTCTCTCTCCTAGTGGTAAAAACCCCAGAATCGGCCGGTCTCCGTACTCGGGCGAGAATGCAAAGCTTTTGCTCATATGAAGACGGTTGTCCAAAGAGAAAAGTAAACAATAGCCGAGAATTTTTAGAGAGAGGGAAAAGAGAATAGTTCTCGTGTTAAGAACGCAGAAGATTTTGAGAGAAGAGAGGAGAGGAAGGCTTGCTATGTTCTCCGAGCTGGTATAGGCTCGGTATTTATAGTGGTTTTGTTAACCGTTTGAAAACCATATTTCCTAAATCAGTGCATCTGTTAACTCCCCGCACGATCCATGCAACCGTTTGAAAGTTTCCAAAACTCACGCGCACATTCTCCACGTGAAAAACGTGTAAAAAATAGTTTGAAAAAACAAAAACACGTGCGGTGTAACGTACGTGCGCATGTGTGTTATGCAAAATCTAATCAGTAGAAAGCCCAAAACACC